TTGAAACTTTATTTTTTTGCTTTTTGTATAGAAACGATTGGAATTATAAAGATGAAAAAACAGTTTTTAGGGGAATAATGGCATTACAATGAAGTTTCAATTTATTTGAAACCTTAGCTTTTTCTAAATCCAGCCATCATAAAGATGTACCAAGAAGCGAAAACTTTCTTCTTGAAGCATCTTAAAACAACCAGTAATTTGTATAATCAACTTGAAATTTCGATATAAGAAACTCCTAAATAACCTTCTTCTATAGACTCACAAAGTTTTGAATTTTTATCATTACCAGATTATGAGATAAAAATTCAAATCTCTCATAATGCATTTTTTCCATTGAATGTTTACCAAAATAGATTTTTTGGATATATTCGTGATTTGAAAAAATCAACTTGAGATTTGATTATGGTATCCTCAAAGCCCTGGATTTCAAACTACATATTAGTACTACAATGATGGAACTTTATTTATTTGTTTTTATGTTGAGATTTTGTAATAAAAGATTTTTTAAGTAAATTTTAATACTTATATATTTCCACAATTTTTTGTTAAACTTTTAACATCTTTAGAAATAAACAAACTTAAAACTTTAGACTGTTTATTGAACGACCAATTAGATTTAAACAATTCACCACTTTTAAATTTATTTACTGTGTAATACCTATTTAAATTAACATAAAATTAGACCAGCTTTTACCTTTTTTATATTTGTCAATTTCACTTTTATGTCTACATTTTATTTTTCTAAAATCTTTCTGATGAAGCTAAAGTTTAGCGAAACATGTTAAAAGTTTAACAATAAATTGTGGAAATATATAAGTATTAAAATTTACTTAAAAAATCTTTTATTAGATAATGGATTTCCACCAAGTAAAAGCCGATTCAATCAAAATTGAGATTTTGTGTTTGAATGATCACTTCAGACCCTCTTCCACTCCATAAACTAAATTTTTCTGAGATTTGAAGCGGAAATCTATGAAAAATTGAAAAAATTGATAAATCACCCCCAATTGCTTAACACGATTTTATCTCAGGAACTATAAGTCCAAATGAGTTGAAATTTTCAGGGATTGTAGTCCTTTAGGGGGATAAGAATCGCTGAAAATTTCAGCTTTCTATCTTTAATAGAAAAAAAATTATGACCTTTCAAAGTTTTCCAAAATCTAAATCATAAGGTAGGTACTTTCCTACTAAAACGATGAAATTTCAAATTTTTTTTTGTGGAGATTTGTGTCCTAATGGTCATTTGTGATCCCCCAAACTCCATACACTAAATTATTCTGAGATTTGGAGCCGAAATCTATGAAAAAAGGCACTCAGAAAATTTGAAAAATTGATAAATCACCCCAAATTGTTTAACACGATTTTATGTCAGGAACTATAAGTCCAAATGAGTTGAAATTTTCAGGGATTGTAGTCCTCTACTCGAATAAGAATCGCTGAAAATTTCAGCTTTCTAGCTATAATAGAAAAAAAGTTTTGATGTTTCAAAGATTTCAAAGAAGCTGTTTATTTTCTCAATTCTTATTATACTTCAGTAATAGGGGACAGAAACGCATCCTCGAAAAACCTCTCTTCGATGAAGATTTGTTTGATCAGATTGTTCGTCATTGTTTATTCACCAAAGATAATTTCCTAACTGATGACGAAGAGGAGTGGCTATAACAAACCCATTTCGCCGAAAATAAAGCCCCCCATACACGTGTGCCACGTGACTTTCTCTGCTAAGCTGTATTTGCTTTTAGCGTCCAAATTAATGCTATACTAGCCCCTTATATTTCATCTGTTATTTAGAATTTGTGAAATGTTTTAGGAAAATTCAATTTGCTGGGCAATTTTTTGTTTTAGAGAACAAGATTTCTCCATTATTATTATTATGCTTGTTTGCATTCAACTTTGTTAATTAATGAAAACCTGGTTTAATATTTTTTTGCTATTTACAAAAGCTAGGTATATAAAATGAATGCGTGTGTTTCCATAAGCCAGCATTAAACCTAATTACCCTACTAAAAGGCTTTTTATTTAGCTTTTCCATTAATTAACATAAAGCTTTCGTGCAAATTCCATTTGCATAAACCCCTTTTTAATAAAACTATTTGCAGGAAAACTTTAAATACGACTGGGAAAATGCACTGAAAACCCAATTTAAAATTTCCCCATTCCTCCCCTTCCACATAAAACTGAATTATGTTTGAGATAATTAAGCTGCTAAATGATTGGATTACCATGGCCGGCGGGAGCTTTGCCGCTTCCAAATTATTAGATTTCATATTTTATAGGGGGTTAATGAACGTGTAGATTTCACATGCAGAGGTAACTAGAAATATTAGCCAGGAAATATTAGATACACAGTTAGAAATGATTGCCTGGGTTCACATCTAACTCAAAGATTCCTGGAACATATTTGCTAAGGTTTTTGATATCTATCACTACATTATTCTGTTCAATGTATGGCTTGCAGTTTCTTCATTCAGAATTACATGAAAAACTGAATATTTTGATATCAACATCCAATAAATCTGCTGATTCCCATAATTCGACACCCTATTACTTATTTTCTATCTAAAAGTTGATAAATTCTTTCTGCAGTTGTAGACACAATGGTGGAATAATGATAAAACAATCAAGAGCCAAGAATAATCAAAATTTGACATTTTTTCTTCAAATGTAACAAACTTGGGTTATTAAAACTGAAATTATATGTATTTTTACTGAATTGAATTCCAACAAATCTAAAGGCTGAACAACAACTTGGAGGAATATTTTGCTCTTTGTACCAAAAAAACTAAAACCAAGCATGAAAACCCTCTTTTTTTTCCAACCAGAATGATAAAATGCAAGCCTTGCAACATAGCCTGTGTACTTATAAAAGCAAATGCATTCCCCTCGACATTATTTTCATTTTCAAGTGCAATGCATATTCACTTGCTCTGATAGCACACCAGAAACATGTGAAATGACGTGACGCAAAACAAATGTATGTAATTATCTCTTTCGTGTTTTTGTTACATGCAATTTACTGGTATATTGTTGAAGGTTTCGTATCTATTATTGTACAAAAAAAAATAATTTTGGATAAAAGCTAAGCAATAGTAAATTGTATTATTATCATCACAAGTACTAAAACTAAAAGAATCAACAAAGTCAAAAACATCAAACAAAATCGAAGTGACATAACAGTGCATTTAACTTGATGAAATATCCAAATATAAAAGGGGCATGTGTATCTTAAGTTTGGTATACAAATGCCTACACACAACTAAAAATAGTGTTTCAAAATGCATTTTTAAAATGCCTTAAAGCACACAAGACAGACAATAATAATGTTGGCTTAATTGACAAGTTTATTTTGTTTGAACTGGCCACCAACTGAAACCTTTTATCTTATTTGAAGATGAAATTATCACTTTTTGTGAGAGCACAGAAATTGAATCATACGATATACTGTGTGTCCAATTATTTCTCCTTTTTACAAATCAAAGAAATATATTAAAGTATGTTAATGACAAGCAACAACTTATGATTTCATAAAACGTTTCTTTAAATTTATACTTTCTGCAAAAGCTTATCTTTGTATTTTCAACTACCCCCGCATAAAACGCCTCTTACTCTAAAATGCGACTGAATTTATTCTTTTCATGGTAACAATTGCCTTTTAGACTCAAACATGTACTTCTTAAAATGAACTTTTCCACTCGAGCAGTCACAAAAATATCAAAATGGCTTGTTTAGTTCGTTCGCGTGATTGCATTCATCGTGTGCGGATTTGCATATGGAATTTGCAAGTTTTTACTGATTTGGACTTTCTTTTGAGAGACGTACATGCAATATGTCGCATGTTTTCATTTACAGAAAGATATATTCCGAGGATAAATTATAATCCAATGGATTTTTTCATAAGTATTATGAAGTAACTATAAAAGAAATTATATCATAATATGACAAAGCTTATTATATACTTATATAATAAATGTGATATTTATACATTTTCCAGTTGACTGGCTTCATGGAGTGTAACAACATTTAAACGCATGTAAACAGTATCGATAAATATTTATTGAAATTTAAAATTAGGTATATTTTAAACTCGATTTTGTAATTACAATAATTATTATGTTATCATGTATGTTGCAAATAACAATAATTTATAATTCAAGATTGTATCAGGAAAACTTGGATTCCTGAAACTTATAATTTCTTCTCATATTATGAGGTGCCTTAGCTCCATTTGGGTAGTTATGTACTCAGTTTTATGTCTCGCTACAATAATTATGGTTCAATTTACTGCAAGACTATCAAACTATATAACAAAGTCTTCAAAGCCTTACATAAACAAGAATGTTGGTCAAAAGTTGATGAAGGAAAAGTAAATTCTAGTGTAGATGATATCGATCACCACCAAGGGACAAACCACCTAGGAACTCTTTGCCAAAAATGTGGGGAATTTAGAGGAATTTATGGGGAATTTGAAGGAACTTATCAAAATTTATGAGAATTTGGGGAATTTATAGGGAATTCGGAGAAGTTTATGGGGAATTTGTGAGGAATTTAAAGGAAATTGTAGAGTCGTGACGTCACTGAGGTTCATTCTTATTATAAGAAACACTAATAAATGGAAATTTAAAAAAAAATCTAGTTTTGTGTTGAACGTTGGACATTCATTTCCAATAAAAAAATTCTCCCAAAATTACACTTCATGATTTACAGGTCCAAATTTAAAAAATTCAAAACAATAATGTTTTTGTCGAGGTTTTTGTAGGCTGATTTCCAAGATTCTTCATGTTGTTATTTTCGACTGGAAAAATTTGAAATTTCGGGAAAATGAGCTTCTCACCTTCCTCTTCACATGAAAAAATTTTCAAAATTCTCCCTTTACTAGTTTTCCACGAAAACTTTGAAATGTGTGAGACTTTATTTCTAATTAATTCAGTTATTGTAGATTGATTTCCAATATTCCTCATGTTGTTATTTTCTACTGGAAAAATTTGAAATTTTGGGAAAATGAGCCTTTAACCCTTCTACTCTTCAGATGCAAGAAGTTTCAAATTTTTGCGTTCACTAGTTTTCCAGGAAAACTTTGGAATGTGTGAGACTGTATTTTCAATTAATTCAGTTATTGGAGGTTGATTTCCAAGACTCTTCATGTTGTTATTTTCCACTGGAAAAAATTGAAATTTTGGGAAAATGAGCCTCTGACCTTCCTCTTCACATGTAAGAATTTTCAAAATTTTCCCTTAATTAGTTTTCCAGGGAAAATTTGAATTGTGTGAGACTGTATTAACAATTAAGTATTTCTGTTTTTGTAAGTTGATTTCCAAGATTGTTCATGTTGTTATTTTCCACTGGAAAAATTTTAAATTTTGGGAAAAAGAGCTTCTCCCCTTCCTTTTGCACGAAAAAGTTTCAAAATTTTACCTTCACTAGTTTTCCAGGAAAACTTTGAACCGGACTTTGAAATGTGTGAGACGGTATTTTCAATTAATTCAGTTACCTATTGTAGGTTGATTGCCAAGATTCCTCATGTTGTTATTATCTACTTGAAAAATTTGAAATTTTTGAGAAAATGAGTTTCTAGCCTTCCCCTTCTCTTGCAAACATTTTCAAATTTTTCCTTTCACTAGTTTTCCAGGAAAACTCTGAAATGTGTGAGACTGTATTTTTACATAATTCAGTTATTGTAGGTTGATTTCCAATATTCCTCATGTTGTTATTTTCTACTGGAAAAATTTGAAACTCGATTCGAAATTTTGGGAAAATGAGCCTTTAACCTTTCTACTCTTCACATTCTAAAAGTTTCAAATTTTTGCCTTCACTAGAATTCCAGAAAAACTTTGGAATATGTGAGACTGTATTTTCAATTAATTCAGTTATCGGAGATTGATTTCTAAGATTCTTCATGTTGGTATTTTCCACTGAAAAAATTTGAAATTTTAGAATAATGAGCCTCTGACCTTCCTCTTCACATGTGAAAAGTTTCAAAATTTTCCCTTAATTAGTTTTTCAGGAAAACTTTGAATTGTGTAAGACAGTATTAACAATTGTTTCTGTTTTTGTAAGTTGATTTCCAAGTTTGTTCATGTTGTTATTTTCTACTGGAAAAATTTGAAATTTTGGGAAAATGAGCTTCCCACCTTCCTCTTAACATGCAAAAAGTTTCAAATTTTTCCCTTCACTAGTTTTCCAGAAAAAATTTGAATTGTGTGAGACAGTATTTTTATTATAATTAATTCAGTTATTGTAGGTTGATTTCGAAGATTCTTCATGTTGTTATTTTCCACTAGAAAAATTTAAAATTTTAGGGAAATGAGCTTCTCACCTTTCTCTTTACATGCGAAAAAGTTTAAAAATTTTCCCTTCACTAGTTTTCCAGGAAAACTTTGAAATGTGTGAGACTTATCTACTTGAAAAATTTGAAATATTTGAGAAAATGAGCTTCTAGCCTTTATCTTCTCTTGCAAAAATTTTCAAATTTTTTTCCAGGAAAACTTTGAAATGTGTGAGACTGTATTTTCAACTAAGTAATTCAGTTTTTGTAGGTTGATTTCCAAGATTTTTCATGTTGCTGTTTTCCACTGGAAAAATTTGAAATTTTGGGAAAATGAGATTCTCATCTTCCTCTTAACATGCAAAAAGTTTAAAAATTTTCACTTCACTAGTTTTCCAGGAAAACTTCGAATTGTATGAGACAGTATTTTTTATTAATTCAGTTATTGTAGGTTGATTTCTGAGATTCTTCATATTGTTATTTTCCACTGGAAAAAATTTGAATTTTGGGAAAATGAGCTTCTCATCTTCCTCTTTACAAACAAAAAGTTTCAAATTTTTCCTTTCACTATTTTTCCAGGAAAAGTTTGAAATGTGTGAGACTGTATTTTCAAATAATTCAGTCTTGAAAACTTGTTGAACTTTTAGGAAAAGGTCCATTTGGCATAAAAAGAAACAATATAGGTACCTACCTATCCTCATTATTGTGGAACAATAATATGTACACACACCTACCTAAGTTTTTTAAAAAATAGCTACATGACGTGTATTATTTTTGGTATTATACTGTATTATATTTGTTTTAATTTCCTTAAAAGGTTTTTTTTAACAATTAGGTAATAATATCAAATGCGGGTTTAGGTTAGTGTAAACCCCTGCATTCTGGATTACCGAAAACCAATCATTAGTTCTAGCTCTATAGTCAACTAACGTAACTTTGCATTGGATCCTACTCTCGATCCTACTTGATAAACTGCTCTTGTATTTTTACTAAGCGAAATATTAATTGTTAGAGACATTTGTGGGAAATTTGGGAGGAGTTTAGAGGAATTCGGAGGAATTTGCAGGGAATTTAGAGGAATTTGTGGGGTATTTGGAGAAATTTGTGGTGGAGTATTTGGAGGAATTTGTGATGGGGTATTTGGAGGAATTTGTAAGGAATTTGGAGGAATTTGCAGGAATTTTCAGGAATTATGCGTAAAAAATTCCCCTTTAAGGAAGTTTTTATATTAGGATCTAACATTCCTCTTCTTGGGGACATTTAAATGTCGATTCTTTCGAGTCTTAAATCAATTTTCGATAATATACCTTTTTAAAGGGACCTCAGTCCAAGCTATCGGTGTGAAACTAGCAGCCGCATTACAGCAGCCAAAGTGTGAAGTTGGCAGCCAGTTACAGCAGCCAAAATGTGAAGTTAGCAGCCTGTTTTAGCAGCCATTTTTAAGACAACATGGATAATGTCATAACTAAATTTTAAACTTTTGTTTCGAAAAATATAATTTTTTCTCCATTCGCCTGCGAGATTATAAAGACGCAGAAGAATCGAAAAAAAAAAAATGTAGGTCGTGAAAAATGGAGTTCCGCGATTAAACTTGGTAGTATCATTGACGATGTCCTAAAGAACTCCTATACCGAGTCCCATCTCCTTAGGCCCCGTCTGACATGGAGAAAACGGGACATAATGGAAAAATCGATAAAAAATCAAAAGTAACTTTCAAAAATTGTGTTCCGCGATTAAACTTGGCAGTATCATTGACGATGTCCTAAAGAACTCCTATACCGAGTCCCATCTCCTTAGGCCCCGTCTGACATGGAGAAAACGGGAGATAATGGAAAAATCGATAAAAAATCAAAAGTAACTTTCAAAAATGGTGTTCCGCGATTAAACTTGGCAGTATCATTGACGATGTCCTAAAGAACTCCTATACCGAGTCCCATCTCCTTAGGCCCCGTCTGACATGGAGAAAACGGGAGATAATGGAAAAATCGATAAAAAATCAAAAGTAACTTTCAAAAATGGTGTTCCGCGATTAAACTTGGCAGTATCATTGATGATGTCCTAGAGAACTCCTATACCGAGTCTCATCTCCTTAGGCCCCGTCTAACATGGAGAAAACGGGACATAATGGAAAAATCGATAAAAAATCAAAAGTAACTTTCAAAAATGGTGTTCCGCGATTAAACTTGGTAGTATCATTGACGATGTCCTAAAGAACTCCTATACCGAGTCCCATCTCCTTAGGCCCCGTCTGACATGGAGAAAACGGGACATAATGGAAAAATCGATAAAAAATCAAAAGTAACTTTCAAAAATGGTGTTCCGCGATTAAACTTGGCAGTATCATTGACGATGTCCTAAAGAACTCCTATACCGAGTCCCATCTCCTTAGGCCCCGTCTGACATGGAGAAAACGGGAGATAATGGAAAAATCGATAAAAAATCAAAAGTAACTTTCAAAAATGGTGTTCCGCGATTAAACTTGGCAGTATCATTGATGATGTCCTAGAGAACTCCTATACCGAGTCTCATCTCCTTAGGCCCCGTCTGACATGGAGAAAACGGGAGATAATGGAAAAATCGATAAAAAATCAAAAGTAACTTTCAAAAATTGTGTTCCGCGATTAAACTTGGCAGTATCATTGACGATGTCCTAAAGAACTCCTATACCGAGTCCCATCTCCTTAGGCCCCGTCTGACATGGAGAAAACGGGAGATAATGGAAAAATCGATAAAAAATCAAAAGTAACTTTCAAAAATGGTGTTCCGCGATTAAACTTGGCAGTATCATTGATGATGTCCTAGAGAACTCCTATACCGAGTCTCATCTCCTTAGGCCCCGTCTAACATGGAGAAAACGGGACATAATGGAAAAATCGATAAAAAATCAAAGGTAACTTTCAAAAATGGTGTTCCGCGATTAAACTTGGTAGTATCATTGACGATGTCCTAAAGAACTCCTATACCGAGTCCCATCTCCTTAGGCCCCGTCTGACATGGAGAAAACGGGACATAATGGAAAAATCGATAAAAAATCAAAAGTAACTTTCAAAAATGGTGTTCCGCGATTAAACTTGGCAGTATCATTGATGATGTCCTAAAGAACTCCTATACCGAGTCTTATCTCCTTAGGCCCTGTCTAACATGGAGAAAACGGGACATAATGAAAAAATCGATAAAAAATCAAAAGTCACTTTCAAAAATGGTGTTCCGCGATTAAACTTGGCAGTATCATTGATGATGTCCTAAAGAACATTTATGCTGAATCGCATCTCCTTAGGCTCCGTCTAACATGGACAAAACGGGACATAATGGAAAAATCGATAAAAAATCAAAAGTCACTTTCAAAAATGGTGTTCCGCGATTAAACTTGGCAGTATCATTGATGATGTCCTAAAGAACATCTATGCTGAGTCGCATCTCCTTAGGCCCCGTCTAACATGGAGAAAACGGGACATAATGGAAATATCGATAAAAAATCAAGAGTCACTTTCAAAAATGGAGTTCCGCGATTGAAGTTGGCAGTATCCCTGATGATGTCTTAAAAAATCGCGGAACACCATTTTTGAAAGTGACTTTTGATTTTTTATCGATATATCCATTATGTCCCGTTTTCTCCATGTCAGACGGGGCCTAAGGAGATGAGACTCGGTATAGATGTTCTTTAGGACATCATCAATGATACTGCCAAGTTTAATCGCGGAACACCATTTTTGAAAGTGACTTTTGATTTTTTATCGATTTTTCCATTATGTCCCGTTTTGTCCATGTTAGACGGAGCCTAAGGAGATGCGACTCAGCATAAATGTTCTTTGGACATCATCAATGATACTGCCAAGTTTAATCGCGGAACACCATTTTTGAAAGTGACTTTTGATTTTTTATCGATTTTTCCATTATGTCCCGTTTTCTCCATGTCAGACGGGGCCTAAGGAGATGAGACTCGGTATAGATGTTCTTTAGGACATCATCAATGATACTGCCAAGTTTAATCGCGGAACACCATTTTTGAAAGTGACTTTTGATTTTTTATCGATATTTCCATTATGTCCCGTTTTCTCCATGTCAGACGGGGCCTAAGGAGATGAGACTCGGTATAGGAGTTCTTTAGGACATCATCAATGATACTGCCAAGTTTAATCGCGGAACATCATTTTTGAAACTGACTTTTGATTTTTTATCGATTTTTCCATTATGTCCCGGTTTCTCCATGTCAGACGGGGCCTAAGGAGATGAGACTCAGTATAGGAGTTCTTTAGGACATCATCAATGATACTGCCAAGTTTAATCGCGGAACACCATTTTTGAAAGTGACTTTTGATTTTTTATCGATATTTCCATTATGTCCCGTTTTCTCCATGTCAGACGGGGCCTAAGGAGATGGGACTCGGTATAGGAGTTCTTTAGGACATCGTCAATGATACTACCAAGTTTAATCGCGGAACACCATTTTTGAAAGTGACTTTTGATTTTTTATCGATTTTTTAATTATGTCCCGTTTTCTCCATGTTAGACAGGGCCTAAGGAGATAAGACTCGGTATAGGAGTTCTTTAGGACATCATCAATGATACTGCCAAGTTTAATCGCGGAACACCATTTTTGAAAGTGACTTTTGATTTTTTATCGATATTTCCA